TTCTATGAATAAATTGAAGTATTGAGGATACATTTGACTGTGTGTTTTCTTACTTCCCGGCCGTTTATTTACACTTTGGGAGACTGAGAAAATTTCACGGTGGCAAAGAGAATTTACAGAGGGACCAATTGTTATTCTTTATTAACAGCTAGGGTACCTGTGGTGGTTGCTAGGTTGTTCCTAGCATGACTAGCATTTTGTTAACATGTTTTAGCATGATTAGCATGTTACTAGCATGTTTCTAACACGGTTAACATGTAGCTAGCATGATTAGCATGTTACTAGCACGTTACAAGCATGATTAGCATGTTACTAGCATGTTTCTAACATGGTTAGCATGATTAGCATGTTACTAGCATGTTTCTAGCATGATTAGCGTATTACTAGCATGTTGTTAACATAATTAGCTAATTAACTAACATGTTGCATGAGTAGCAAGGTACTAGCATGTTTTAGCATTATTAGCAAGTCACTAGCATGTTGCTACCATGTTTCTAGCATGATTAGCAAGTTACTAGCATGTTGCTAGCATTTTTCTAGCATGATTAGCATGTTAATAGCATGTTGCTAGCATTATTAGCACATTACTAGCATTTTGCTATCATGTTTCTAGCATGCATAGCAAGCTACTATCATGTTGCTAGCATTATTAGCAAACGTGACTAGCATGTTTGCTAGCTTGTTTCTAGCATGATTAACATGTTACTAGCATTTTTCTAGCATTATTAGCGCATTCCTAGCATGTTGTTAACATAATTAGCTAATTTACTAACATGTTGCTAACATAATTCTAGCATTATTAGCATGTTACTAGCATGGCGTTAACATTTTGTTAGCATGATTAGCAAGTTACTAGCATGTTGCTGGTATGATTAGCACGTTACAAGCATGATTAGCACATTACCGTCTTAATGGTAGCATGTTTCTAACATGTTTATCAAGTTACTAGCATGTTTCTAAAATGATTAGCATGTTACTAGCATGTAGCATGTTGTTTTTTTCTAGCATGATTAACATGTTACTAGCATTTTTCTAGCATTATTAGCGCATTCCTAGCATGTTGTTAACATAATTAGCTAATTTACTAACATGTTGCTAACATAATTCTAGCATTATTAGCATGTTACTAGCATGGCGTTAACATTTTGTTAGCATGATTAGCAAGTTACTAGCATGTTGCTGGTATGATTAGCACGTTACAAGCATGATTAGCACATTACCGTCTTAATGCTAGCATGTTTCTAACATGTTTATCAAGTTACTAGCATGTTTCTAAAATGATTAGCATGTTACTAGCATGTAGCATGTTGTTAGCATTATTAGCATGTTATTAGCATGGTGTTAACATTTTGTTAACATGATTAACAAGTTACTAGCATTTTGTTAACATGATTAGCAAGTTACTAGCATGTTACTAGCATTTTGCTGGTATGATTAGCACGTTACAAGCATGATTAGCATGCTACCGTCTTAATGTTAACATGTTTCTAACATGTTTATCAAGTTGCTAGCATGTTTCTAGCATGATTAGCAAGTTACTAGCATGTTGTTAACATGATTCTAACATGATTAGCAAGTTACTAGCGTGTTGTTAACATGATTAGCAAGTTAATAACATGTTGTTAGCATTAAATAACATGTTACTAGCACGGTGTTAACATGATTTGCAAGTCACTAAGTTTAATGGCACTCAGTGGGTGTTGCAGTTGAATAGTCCACAAGTCGTCAAATAAAGCTTGCACATTCATAATAAAACGTGCCGCAGAAGACTCCGGGGGATGAATAAAGGCTGTAGCGAATCCCTGAGTTTTTGTAAGAAAAATATCCATATTTCAAACGTAATAAACACTTTTCTCTCACTTCCACTGACTGTCATACACTGAAGCAGTTCCGGTGGATGACGTAAGTTGCGTGATTATTGACGAATGCGGAGAGGGAACAAAACAAAACGCCGGTCACGAATTAGAAGTACAAACCAAAGATTTGCAAAGAAAAATGTTGGAGGATTTCAATATAAACCAAGAGGAGACTGGTTTTCCTCTGCTAAAGTATGGAAACTTTGCTTCCTTTGCTCCTATTGATAGATAACGAAAGTGAGAGAAAAGTGTTAATTAAATTATATGCATATTGTGGGCATGTGTGAAACACTGTTATAGTAGTATAACAGTGCCAAGCCAACATAACTAGATATGTAAATTTTCTGAAGAAAATGTGAGTGGTGCGTGCCGTGGCAAAACCCGGCACTTGGTTGCTTGAGACCGTCTATGTTCTGTTCTGGGTGGTTGCTAAGATGTTGCTGTGTAGTTGCTAGGGTACCCGGGGTGGTTGCGAGGGTGTTGCTATGTGGTTGCTAGGGTAATCAGGGTGATTGCTAGGGTGTTGCTATGTGGTTGCTAGGGGACCTGGGGTGGTTGTTAGGTTGTTGCTATGCGGTTGCTAGGGCGGTTGCTAGTGTACACAGGATGGTTGCTAGGGCCGTTGCTAGGGTAATCGGGGTGGTTACTAGGGTGTTGCTATGCGGTTGCTAGGGGACCTGGGGTGGTTGGTAGGTTGTTGCTATGCGGTTGCTAGGGCGGTTGCTAGGGTACACAGGATGGTTGCTAGGGTAAACGGGGTGGTTACTAGGGTGTTGCTATGCGGTTGGTAGGGTAATTGGGGTGGTTGCTAGGGTGTTGCTATGCGGTTGCTAGGTTACTTGTGGTGGTTGCTAGTGTGTTGCTAGGCAGTTGTTAGTTGTCACAGATGGTTACTATGGAGTTTTATAGAGTTCTTAGCATGATCTTAGACTGAGTTAGCCCTTAGCTAATCATTATTAGCATGTAGCTATTCACTGCTAGCATGACTAAACTATCCTTGTGGGGACATTTGGTCCCCACAATGTAGCATAAACACACACACACACACACACACACACACACACACACACAAAGGTTCCATGTTATATGAGGACATTCCATAGTATTTTCTACACAGTGTATTTTCTACCTCCTTACCATAAACCTACCCCTTACACACAAACTGCTATTTTAGATTTTCATAAAACTTTATTCTGTATGCTTTCTAATATTGTTTCCTCATAGGGACCAAAAAAAAAACACCCAAGGTCAAAATATACTGATATTGCTATCCTTGTGGGGACATTTGGTTCTCATAATACCAGGCACACACACACACACACACACACACACACACATAGTATTTCAAACATCTATGTATATTAACATCAGAAATGGTTTATTTATCTATCTAACAGTGTAGACACCATATAAAATTTTATGTAGATGAAAATGAGGCTGTAAATCTTTACAATAGCACAATAGCCTGTAAAAGGTTCTAGATCGTATAGATCATAATATTCAAAACTCACAACTTTCAATCAAGTTTTTGTCTACTAAATGTGTTGGTTATTCTTTACTATGAATACTGTATTTACTATAATAATAGCGGTAAATTATGCATAATTACATGCAACTAACCCTAAACCAAATCCTGATTCTAACTGCAACCCTATAGTAATTTAGTACAGTAATATTACTCAGTTCCTAATTGTATAAATACATTTTAAGAAGGACAACATAAAACAAATTGTATCCAAAGTTTATTTTGAAAAATCTTTTCTAAGCTGAAAAAATAGCATTAGTTGCTAAGTAACACAACAATTATTTTACAATCCTCCAAGCCTCGTTTTTATTCCTGTCAAAAATTAAATATGGCACTACCCTGACTAAGGTATGCACAGCCACATAAGCTGTCTAATATCTCTTTCTCCAATGCCCATGACATATGCTGTATTAGTAAATATGTACACACATACACAGGAAGGGGGCTGTGTATGTGAGTGAACATGTCAGTGACATCAGCCGTGGGCATGTAAGCATACATTTCTCAGGTTTTTTGTAATGTCAGATTTTCCAGTCATGTATGTGTCATAATCAAATACATTGCCCTGGTTATTATATAAAACAAAACAGTTAAAAAATAAGCAACTGTCAGTTCAGTGTCAGGTGAATTTACAGTGTTTGCCCAATGGACTGTTCTATATTTCTTTAAACAGTACCAACACCTCAGTAATGGAAACCTACCCCCATGAATTTGATGCCAGAAGCTATATTCCTGAAATTAAGATACGGTATTTTGTTATTATTTTGTTAAGATTTACAAACTCAGCATTTAATTAGTGTTAAACAATGAGAATAACTTGGCACCTTCCTTGCAAATAGTGACATGTTAAATACACCACCATTATTGTGCCACCCAGCCTGTGGCACACCTTATATAAATATTAACATTTATAGATAAAACTTCAGCTGTAAGCTTAAAACAGTTTTCCAGTGAAAATGTTAACAGGGGAAGGTTGAAGTGCAGGGTTTGGAGAGAACTACATGGCTCTCTTGCTTTTTTAGTTTCAACAAGAACAGCTGGTTATAGCACAGACAGCAATGTGCACCTGTTGTCCCGCATCAGAAGGTTATATTTCCTCTCTCTGGAGGAGTGCTCAGAGATATTGAAGACCCTGGCTTTCAACGAGCCAAAGCTCTTAATGGAATGTAACAAGTCTGTCTAGTACGAGACGACCCTCTAACTCTCTTTAAGATATGTAATGCACATTTTACGGATTTTTAATATTTTACAAATCCAAACTCTCTGTTTTTAAGTTGAAGCACTTTTTGATAAATTATGAATTAACTATCCACGCAGGTTTTAGCTTAAAAACTGAAACATGAAGACTGAGACATGAAAACTGTCCCGAGGTAGTAATTCAGAGGTAGACTGTCTAACCTTTTAAACTCTGTCCTAGATTTCTTGCACACATTTTCTTCTTTGTCCAGAAACAGAAGTTACTTCAGTTTTATTAGTTCTGACTCAGTCAAAAAGTGTAAGCATATGTTGTGTAAATATAGGCAAATCTTCTTGGTTCAAGGACTACAAAATCTGAAAACCATGTTTTGTCACAGACAAAAAAGTGACAGATCTCTAGTGCTTTAAAATTACGTACAGGGACTATGAACGTTAAGATCTCAAATGTTCAAAAGTTGGATGTCACAGCTTTATTACAATGTTTTTGGTACCTGCAGTTAAACAGTCAGCACCCATTTCAGTTTCGCAAGCTGGTGAGGGCTCTCGTTGTCTGGTAGTCTTTATGTTGACTTGTGTCCAGATGTTGCTGCTGTAGTTATATCCCTTGTTATTCTTTGTGGAAGGTAGTTGAGAAGTTCAACACAGGATCTCCTGAAAGGCGCATCTAAACTCAGGACTCCTGCAGTAGATCAAAGGGTTGAAGGCGGAGTTGGTGTAGCCGATCCAGTTCAAGATCCTGAACGGCAGCATGATGTTGTCCATCTTCCAGATGGCTGCCACCACGTTAAGCACAAAAAAAGGGAGCCAGCAGAGGGTGAAGGTTCCCATGATGATTCCTAAGGTCTTCAGAGCTTTGTGGTCCTTCATGCAGAACTTGGTCTTCCGGTCCTTTACCTCATTTCCCTCCTGGGTGCTGAAGCTCTGTGTGCGTATGTGCCCTTCTATGCGGTCGATTTTCTGAAGCTGTCTACGGGCTTCCTGGAAGACCCGGCTGTACACAAACGCCATGATGACCAACGGGATGTAGAAGGAGATAATGGAGGAGGTCACGGCATAGGCGGCGTTAGTGTTGAAGTCACAGCAGGTCAGGTTCTCCAAGCAGCTCAGTGCCTCAGGTTCATCTGACACCCACCACTCCATGTGGATGGGCAGGAAAGAGATGAGAGCGGCCACTGCCCACACCCCTAGGAGCACCCCACAGGCCTTCCGCTTCGTAAGCATTGACTGATAGCGCAAAGGCCACATAATTGCCACGTACCGGTCCAGGGCAATCACGCACAACGTCTCGATGCTAGCGGTCACACACAAAACATCCGTAGCCGTCCAAAACTCGCAGAAGAATTTTCCGAAGTGCCACTTGTTGAGGAGAATGTAGCATGCACCAAATGGAACTACCATGAGGCCCATGACCAGATCTGCACAGGCCAAGGAGCTGATGAAGTAGTTGGTGACCGTCTGCAAACGCTGGAATTTTACAATAGCACTGATGACCAGCACATTGCCGAAGACAATGCCTACAATCAGAATCACCATTAAGATGCTAATTAAGACCACCTCTCCTTTGCTGTACTCCAAGCCAGGCAAGGACACTGGAGAGGAATTATTTAGCCTTGCTGAAAGGTTCATGTGCAGGGAGGTGTTCTCCATGCTCAGTATATGCTGCCCCTCCATGAGCTTTGTGCTGAGAAAGGAAAATCATCATAACATTTGGTGAGAGCAATATTAGCCTAAAAAAAAAAGAAGCTCTTTAGTGAGCACAAGTGAACAGAAAGTACATACAATGTCAATCAGAAAGCAAAATATGAGAATTATCATGATTATTATCATGGATGTGATTTATTATCATGAGAATGATAAAACAAACAAACTGACAAATAGAAAATAAAAATATAAAAATGAACAAATTGTATAGTCAATATACTTACTAAAATCAGGAAAGTGTTTTAGAGTCCTCCAACTTAATTCCACTCTTCATGGACTCCCATAAGATATCCAAAAATAAAATAAAAATCCTTTTGAATTGTATTTCTCTCAGAAAGTGTTCTGGTCTCCCACAGTGTTCTCACATTGTTTCACCTCTTAATCATCCGGTCATTTTGTCTGAACAGTGTTGCTTTTACATGCTCACAGCACTCTCAGCTAAACACATTGACTAAATGTGCTATCAGTTGGACTCTTGTAGCAGCCAGTGATGACATCACAGTTCATCAGCAGCCAATTGGAGCACAGCTTCCTTACACTGCAGAGCACTCTGCTGTTGCAAATGAAAATGCTGCTACTTTTTACAAGCAAAGACGGAATTTGATGTTACTTTCAGAATTCATTTTTAATTAAATTCAGAGCAATATACAATGAAAATTAAAAGTAAAAAGGCATCATGATGATATATACAACATCTGGCTTTTCTAGAATGTATTATGAATGTCTTTTGTAACCAAACTTTAACAACATGACACTTTGAAGTGATCAAGAATATCGTAATTTACAAATAAGCTTTTCTTTGATTTCTCAGTCCTCATTTTCTTTCCTTGCATTCTTCCCTAATTTTTGTTTTCTTGCCGAGCAAAACTTTTCGCTATTGGGCAGAAATTTAGGCCACCTGAGCAAAAACATTTGACCTGAACAGCATACACACACACAAAAGTGTGCAACTTTTAACTTTAATATGCTATTTATTTTTTATTTGTACCTTAATGTCCCTTGTGAAAAAGTAGTGTGCTTAATTGTATTAAAAGTGTACTTTTTGTGTACTTCAAATCTTAAAAGTATACTTTGTAAAAAGTGCACTTGCAGATAACAATTTAAATTAAAGGCCACCTAAGTGTACTTAAGACATATTGTCATTAAAGTGTATTCTTTTTAACACATTTAAGTGAGCTTTTTAAAAATGCACTTTATAATAATAATATCTAATTAAGTATTACTTATACATTTGACAATTATGATTTTATTGTGTTTTAAATAAGAACATATATATATATATATATATATGCTAAAGCCATGTAAAATAATTGATTTAATTTAAACTTAAGTGTTCTCCAAAAAATGCACTTTATAATAATAATATCTAATTAAGTATTACTTATACATTTGACAATTATGATTTTATTGTGTTTTAAATAAGAATATATATATATATATATATATGCTAAAGCCATGTAAAATAATTGATTTAATTTAAACTTAAGTGTTCGCCAAAAAATTTAATGGAATAAAATGGGGGGGGGTGGGGGGGGTGTCATGTGACAAGAGTGATGCGAGAAGACTGACACTATGGCCGTTTCTCAAAAAAGGTGCATACGCAGGGGCGATTCTAGGATTTAATTTTAGGGGGGCTCAGCCCACAGTGAGGATATAATAACAATAGCCTAATAATATATATATATATAAATAAAATTAAATAAAAAATGTTTGATTAATAGGGGTCGTATATACTAAACTTATTGCAGTATTCCACTGTATTGCATAGATAGGTGTAACATTTGAGTACTGAATAAGCCAAATTCAAGCCTTCATGATCTCACACACACAACCTGTTTAATGTACAAACAGAAAATTTTACTGTTTGCATTTCTAGTACAAATCTCTTTCATTAGCTCAAGTATGCAAACCTCTTTGCCACATGCACTGGAATATGTATTATATTGAAAGTTAAATTTTCAAATGAAAATGGCAACATGATCGTTTTATAAAGTATGCGTTCATATGTGCTTCATTTTCGCTGGAGGAAACAGCTGTGGTGTGATGAGGGGTGAATGCAGTGAAAACTTAGGCTACATTAGATGGGGAACCGATTATTGCTCCCCATGATATTTTGTAAACTGGATTTATGACAAAGAATTGCACAGATGCAATCTTTCGATAAACACACACCTTGTCCTCTGTTTCTCACTCTGCGCTGCTGCAGTCTGCAGATTGAAAAAGAATGCACTGAAAGACGGAGAGGAGCCAATCGAAGTCTGCCGCCATATCATGTGAAATTTAAAGAGTGATATGAGTTTGTGTACCATTTATGGAGCTAATCGCAAAATTTTAAGGGGGCTGAGTAGTCATTTTAGGGGGGCAACAGCCCCCTAAAAATGGCCTAGCGGCGCCCATGTGCATATGTCATAAAGAAGATCTTATTTTAGAATATAAACAGTTATAAATTTGACAATTTTTCTTAAATATAAATTGTTGTATATGCTTATGACTCGCGAATGTAATGCTCGGTTACCTGAAATGATCCAGGCTTTATGACATATGCAGCCTGCAAATGCAACCTCAGGAGGATGCAGCTGTTACAGAGCTGACGAGACGTGAGACGTGCGGATCCATCTGCAAGGCTTTATTGTGGAGAAGACAGAGACGTGGTCATGAAGCAGGCAGGGTCAAACAGAGGCAGACAGGTATATGGTGGGCAAGACACAAGAACAGTCCTAGTAAACAGGTGTGTGCAATTCGTGCTGAGTGCAATCAGTGCAATGCATGATGGGAAATGTAGTCCGGGGTGCTATGCAACAGTTTGTGTAGTGCGAGAGTCAATGAATAGGAAAGTTCGTTGACCGAATTCGTGACAGCAGCCTTCCGTTTGAGAAATGGCCTATGATAGCGGATCCAAAAGTGCAACTTTTGTTGATAAAACGTTCATTTCTGTGTGTACGCGGGTAAAACATATCCTTATTCATTTTGTTAATAAAAGTTCAAAGTTTAATATAGGTGAATTTGTCATTGTACTATTTTATTGTATAGCTTATGTTTTTTCCCCATTAATAATAATGAGCCAAGAATTTGTTTAAGTAAGGGGAAAATTCAAAAACCATTCATTTATTTGTTACAATGCGGGTACATCAGTCTTATTTGTTCTGTTCACAAAAGTTTTGTTTAATAAGCCACTTTGTCATTGTAGCATTGCTGATGTTGTGTGTGTTTTTCCATTAAAAGTAATATTGAATCAACCATTAAGCATTAATGTTGTTTCAAGAATAGGAAAGGCCTAACGTTAAAGATCAAAAAAGCGCTACAGATGTGAGAATACGAGATTTGTTGCTGTGTTAAGCACTCTCGCTCTTTCTCTGCTGTCTCTTTGCTATGTCTGTAGAAATGGTCATTAATTCTTAATTTGGTTAAAGCACAGACATGTTACAGGTAATAATATAATCAAAAAATCATGGCAACAAATTATTTTTTTACTGTGAAAGTCGTTTCAACTTATGCCGCTCCATCTGAAAGCCGGTGATGGAGATTTACTACTAATCATGGAACCGGCTTTACTGACGCATTTAAGTAAGGGGAAAATTCAAAAACCGTTCATTTATTTGTGTTACAACGCGGGTACATCAGTCTTATTCGTTCTATTCACAAAAGTTTTATGTTTAATAAGCGACTTTGTCATTGTAGCATTGCTGATGTTGTGTGTGTTTTTCCATTAAAAGTAATATTGAATCAACCATTAAGCATTAATGTTGTTTCAAGAATAGGAAAGGCCTAACGTTAAAGATCAAAAAAGCGCTACAGATGTGAGAATACGAGATTTGTTGCTGTGTTAAGCACTCTCGCTCTTTCTCTGCTGTCTCTTTGCTATGTCTGTAGAAATGGTCATTAATTCTTAATTTGGTTAAAGCACAGACATGTTACAGGTAATAATATAATCAAAAAATCATGGCAACAAATTATTTTTTTACTGTGAAAGTCGTTTCAACTTATGCCGCTCCATCTGAAAGCCGGTGATGGAGATTTACTACTAATCATGGAACCGGCTTTACTGACGAGATGCGCATGACAATCACATGCGATTAATTGCACAGCCCTAGCACAAAGTATCTCTTTTTTAATGCGCATGCGCCAAAAATAGTACGTCATGTACTATTAGCACTACTTCAGCAGAGTTTGAAAAATGCAAGTCCAAGATGGCATCCTGCTAACTTGACTTTTGTTGAGCTCTGAATTCTTTCAGGATACCTTTGCATAGAATTATCCACATCTACCTTTCTGCCTACCCTGAGATTCTAAATATGAAGTTGACCACTGACAGAAGAAAAGATATGTCACATATTTCTCAGCATTCTGATTAGATGGACTTTCATATTTATGCATCTAAGGTTACGGGGGAAACTCTGTCCGGGGCCAAAATGCAGCTAGCCCAGCTAAACCTCCATCAAAAAGAGGGCAAGGGAGATGATGATGACGACATCTCATCAGTTATCTTAGTGCTCTCACAGCTAATTAACACCCACTCGAACACTATAGAGAAAATGGTGAATGAAAATGCCCTAAATATTGAAGGCTTGAAAAAAACAGTGGACTTTGAATGTGCCGAACTAAATTACATTAAAGGCAAAGTCAGTCACTTTGAGACGAGATCACTGAAGAGAAGAAATTGTGATTCTGTGAACAATGTCTCACTGACCTGGAAAGATATTCCCATTGCTGGAATCTACGTTTGCAAGGTGTATTTGAGAAGGAAAGAGGATGTGATAGCGGAGTCCATCCGTATCTGTGAAGCCCTGTTCCCTGAGGGAGGAAGCAGCCTAGCAGACAAAATCGACACGGTTAACTGCATTAGAAGGAGGCTCCAAAATAGTTAA